TATTGCTATAAACTATTTCAGAAATACGTGATTTTACATAAACATCTTGAGTGCTCAAAAAAGTTAATTTTTTCATTTTATACTTATGTATCTCTAATACTTTATGTATTTCCGTGTATGTATATACTCCCACTCCTGTATGTATCTCTATTTCCGGAAATATACGCAAGTACGTTTGGTAACATATTTATAATTCTTTACAAATTTTAGTATTTAGATAAAATCCATAATTTTTTAATTTTATTATATTATAAGTTAAACACAAAAAACATAATAAATACGAAGGAATAAGATATAAATTATAGTGAAGGGAACTATTTCCTGGTACAATCGCGACGCCATGACATTTGTTTCACAGATCCCCTTTGGGTCGTGTGACGAGTGTAGCGTACTTTGCATTCATTCTGGACGTTAAAAAGCCTCAATTTTACTAGAAAATATATCGTATTTTCAAGCGGAACTAGTGAATTTCGTATAAAAATGTAAGTTATACAAATTTTCTATTAATATTGCGTTTAACTGTTAGTTTTCTGTAGATTTCTTATTGACATTTAGTATCTATGATTGAGTATGCGTTACTCCATATTGCTTTTATATTAGCGAAATTTTCTACGTCCGTTACATGCGAAATTCTTATAATTCATAGGAATTAATTGAATATATTTGGTGTTATTAAGCATTTTAAAAGTGTATTTCAAATTTCGACTGTAAATTTATTATATGTATAAATATAATATTAAAAATAGTCTCTATATATTTAACATATATCCTTAATATATTTAATTTATACAATGCGAACACAATATTTAATATATAATTATTTTAAACGTTAGTTAACATTAAATAATGATTATACTTTAAAATATAGTATTTTATATTAACATAATATGCTAGCTTTCTATCGTTTATTTGGCAGATTATATAGAATTTGTTAATCGTTTATTCATTTAATTTTTAATTGTATAAATATCTTTATGCAGGGCTTATCGTGATCGTGAACGTGGTGATAGAAGAGGAGGCGGTGCTCGTGGAGGAGGTCGTTTTGGCCGAGATGGAAGTGGCGGGGGTGGTAGATTTGGTAGCAGTTCAAATAGAGATGGTGGTAATTTTGGCAACAACTTTAAAAATCGGCAACCTGGTGAACGTCTTCGGAAGCCAAGGTGGGATATGGCCACATTACAGCCGTTTAGAAAAGATTTTTATCAACCTCATCCTAATGTTACAACCCGAAATCCACATGTTGTTGAGGCTTATCGTTCAGATAAAGAGATTACTGTAAAGGGTACAAATGTACCAGGACCAAACATATTCTTTGAAGAAGGGGGATTCCCAGATTATGTCTTAAATGAAATCCGTAGACAAGGATTTGGGGAACCAACTGCAATACAAGCACAAGGTTGGCCCATTGCTTTATCTGGACGTGATATGGTTGGAATTGCACAGACAGGATCAGGGAAAACATTGGCATATATTTTACCAGCTATTGTACACATAAATCATCAACCCAGATTAAATCGAAATGATGGGCCTATAGCTCTCATTCTAGCACCAACAAGAGAACTTGCACAACAGATTCAGCAAGTTGCATCAGATTTTGGAGTCTCATCACAAGTAAGAAATACCTGCATTTTTGGCGGAGCTCCGAAAGGTCCTCAAGCTCGTGACCTTGAACGTGGTGTTGAAATCTGTATAGCAACACCTGGTCGTCTTATCGATTTTCTAGAACGTGGTACAACAAATTTGCGTAGATGTACATACTTAGTGCTAGATGAAGCTGATAGGATGCTTGACATGGGCTTTGAGCCACAAATTAGAAAAATTGTTGAACAAATCCGACCTGATCGACAAACTTTAATGTGGTCTGCAACATGGCCAAAGGAAGTTCGAAATCTTGCAGAAGAATTCTTAACTGATTATATACAAATTAATATTGGTTCCCTCCAATTGGCAGCTAATCACAACATCCTTCAAATTGTTGATGTATGTGAAGAATTTGAAAAGGAGGGTAAACTTATGAAATTATTAGAAGAAATTTCAAATGAGCCAGAAAACAAAACAATTATATTTGTTGAAACTAAAAGGAAAGTGGATGATATAACACGTGCAATTAATAGATATGGGTGGCAAGCAATTGGCATCCATGGAGATAAGAGTCAACAAGAAAGAGATTATGTATTAAATCGTAAGTAACTGAAGTATACATATATAACATATATATATATATATAACATATTCTGCTCAATACTAGATAATTTATTTCAGAATTCCGGAATAGCAGATCTGCCATACTAGTAGCCACAGATGTTGCAGCAAGAGGATTAGGTAAGAATTTACTTACACATGAGTGGGTATGATGTAAGGGTCAGGCTGCGATGGTTATTTCACGTTTGTGAGAGTTGTAATATAGTGATGTGGCAACGGATAACGGCATGTGCCAGACTGATTGACATTAGTCTTCTTTTGGTGTGAATGGAAATTATTAAAAAAGAACAATAGGCAAAGGATTTAGGACAATTCATTGACAAAATTAATAATTTATGTTCAATAAATAATGTATAGTATGTCCGAGTTATTTCAGTATTGATAACTATTTCATAAGGATTTGAAAATATAAAAAAATTGTGTTTACAAAAGTATTTTGTTTTGTTAGATATTATGGTAAATTCTTTTCAATATTGACCCTCAGCTTGTAAGCAGAAATGGACAATTTGGGAAGAGGGGATGCGATTATTCGAGTCTCGCGGCTCGTTTTTATAGTCGCCGATTGTCAACAACTATAAAAACGAGCCGCGAGGCTCTTCTCAAATTGTCCATTTTTTGTTTACAAGCCGAGGAACAATTGAGAAAATTTACTTTATGTGCTATATACAGATTTTCTAAAGTAGAAAAATAGGAAAATCTTGAAATTAATTAATTTTTTTCAAATTGAGTGCTATATTTTTTTATTTATTATACAATAACATTTTTAAAACGCAGCAGGTACTATGTAAACTATTGTTTTTTTTTAAGAAAGCGGGATAAAATAATTAATTTTTACAATATCTCTGACTTTTTAGTTAGGGTCACAGAGATACCACTGTATTATTGCATTGTAGATAACAAAGATTTTCCTCCTTACTATATATAGAACAGCTGTATATATTACATAATATTCTTCTTTCAATCAATATACATGGTAGAAACAATTTATTTATATCTTCAATAC